GTGCATCATACTCCCTTTTCTGGGAAATCCAAAACTGCAGCTTAAATCATTCTTTGTAAAATGTAATCTGTAGCTTAAACCACTTCTGGTAAAACTCTATAATGTAAAATTTTAACTATATGTTTATATTTATTCATGATCGAACATATGTGCTTAATAGGCTTGAGATCATCTGTCAGTATATACAAACAACTGAAATTCAGTCTACAAACAAGTCAGTGTTGGAAGAACGTAGATGGACCAGAACATAGAGAGGGTTACCTTTCTGCTCTGCTCCTTTTTTCCATCTCCTCTGTCAGGATTTCTACAGCTGCTCAGGGATCAAGAAAGCCACCCAGATCACAGAAGACCCTTCACATCCACTACACAACTTTTTTTTCAGATGCTTCTATGTTCTATCAACCAGGCATGCAGTCCCACTGGCAAATAAAACTAAGCAATTAATTTGTTCCATCTGTAATAATGTTTTAAAACAAAACTGCATAGGCACAACTTAATGGTGGTAAATTTATATTAATATTTTCAATATGTTTTATCGTTTCATTTTCTGTTGTACTTGTGTATGTTGTTAATGTGCAAGATTGTGTCAAAGGAGAATTTCTGCCACTGTTGTGGTATATAAAGTTGGTCTCATCTTATCTTTCACCATGACAAACTGGAGCAACATCCACATTGCTTCAGTCATACAAGTATTGTATTTAATATTTGCTTGATTATTTCAAAGCTTGCTTATAAGAGATTTTAAGTTTCAATCATCCTCTTTGACATTTTCAAATCATACAAAGTTCATCATATTGACCATTTTTTATTGATGATGGTACAAAGTGCACAGGCATTAGAAAAAAAAATACAAGACACAACAGCTATATTACTACAATCATTACAATTACAATACAAAGTAAGAAAAATTTGATCAAAAAAATGCAAGTACACTACTTTAGAATTATTGGCATAATTCCATCATTGAGCAAACCCATATGGTTTGTGGCGGCACTCTGTGCCTTATCTGCCTAGTTAATCTGTCTGTTTGTCTTTATAATTAGTAAAACTCAATGCAACATTGATGTGCAATGACAGTGACTGGGTCTCCTTATCATTCATTTAGCTTGTATAGATTTTAGTTGATATTCATTACAAAGTGCTAACCAAACAAATGATATATGCTGGTGAATGCCACTTTCTAATATTCAGAAAATAGTACCATCAGACTTAGTAACACATCATAAAACACACAATATGCAGGTCTAAATGCAAGAAGCGATCTCTAAAAGCACCATACTCGGTCACAATGTGCAAGTTCATTTTTCAAATGCATTGCACAACATTCAGAAAATTAAGAAACACATCACATTTATACAACTACACTTTATACATTGGATGTAGAATTAATCCAAAGCCAACATGAATCCCTCATATTCTATAAAAAATATTTCACAATCAACTTTGTATGAATTGACAATATCTCAAGGCACAGTATAGCACTGCATCCAATGCACTGTGGACATACCCGATGTCTATTTATTAACGTACAACAACAAAAAACACATCAAAACAAAGGGGTTATATCTTTTTTTAAATCTGCATTATAATAACAGATAATTTGACAAAAATCACACTAAAATTAAGTAAATATCCAGCTGTATATGTTCAGCCTACTTAAAAGGTCTTGAGGTGCCCATATACAAAGATGAAGACTGGTTATACAGGCTGGAGGCACATGTCTCCAACAGAAGCGTATGAGTTGCCAGGATAAAAACTTAAAACAGTGCACACTGCGGCAACCTCAAGTTGTATTATATGCTGATGTCCTCAAGCGTTGAGGTCACCGTCACTTGTGAAACATTTTGGTAGAGATTCAACAACCAATCCAGTCCTTCGTGATTTCGCCCAACTTGACAATCTTCAAACTGCTGTCTTCTAGTTTGAAATAGTGGTTCCCTTTAAAAAAGTAGCTGTAATCTGTGGAAACAAGCACATATAAATTGTGTTTAGGATTTAGATTTTTAAAGTTACACTTGAAACTGCTCACATTAAACACATGCAACTGCTATATAATATGAAACAATAAAGCTTAGATAAAACAATATAATTAGTTTCAGTCAATTTGAAATAGATTGAAATACCATAACAGGTTCTACTGAGCCTACACTCTCTGAATGTTGCTAGTCAAACAGCATACAGAAGGACCTCTGTATATGGTCACAGACTTTCTTTCTATAAATGTGTGTTCACTGTGACCAGAAGAGTCAATGGGATGTTTGTGTGTGTGTGCTAGGGGAGCAGTAACGGAAAAATCCCACGCAAAAATCGACATAACTCCTCAAACCTCATGTAAATCGTGGCATATAGATTGCTACAAACAATTTGCTGAACATTAATCATCATCTATATATAGTTTGCACCAACCGGCAAATGAAACACAACCCATCATGTACTCACTCACAGCAAATTCAATAACTATGTAAAACTAGAGAAATCGCATTTCCTGTGAAAATGCAGTGCATGCTTATTGCTGAAGAATTGCTGAATAAAATTGTGAAATTAACTTAAAAAGCATGCTGAAATGTAGCTTAAATGGAAGAACAAAACTAAATTAGCAGAAAAAATACAGAAAGAACACATATTTGCTGAATTAGGTCAGAGATTAGCACAAAAATTTGAGAAAGTAGCTTTAAAAAGGCTGGAATTAACTAAAAATAGCTGAAAAGTAGCTGAAAATGCAGAAAGGATCTTAAGCTACCAGAAGTAGCTGTAAGTGGAAAGAGCTGAAATGAGCTAAAAAATGTGGAAATAGTAAAAATAAAAAAATAAAAACTAATAACAGCTAAATAGTAGCTGAAAGAGAAAAAAGAAAAAGCTAAAACTAGCAGCAGAAAGGAGCATACCAAGCTGAAATTAGCATAAAGAAGTTAATTAAGCTGAAAGTAACAGACATTTCCAAGTAAAACATGAATTTATCTTAAAGCAGCTAAAAGCTACAAATTGTATGAAAAGGTTGGACAAGCATAGATTAGCATAAGAAAGCAGAAAGAACAATTGTTTGCCCAATTATGCCGAAAGAAGCAAAAATGAGAACAAAACGTGGACATTTTGTGTAAAAAGTTGAAATTAGCAACAACAAAAAACTGCTGAAAAGTAGCTAAAATGGCAAAAAGGAGCTGACATTACAAAACTGAAGTAGAGAGAGCATTTTTTTGGCAGAATTAGGATGAAAAAGTTGAAATGAGTGCAAAAAATGTGGAATTAGCTGGAAAAAGCTCAAATTATCATAAAAGCAGCTAGTAGCTGAAATAGTAGAAAAAAGATGAAACTTTGTGAAAATTGTAGAAAAAGCTGAAACTCTGGCATAACAATTTCATACAGGATCAATAAAGTTATATCTTATCTTATCTTAACTTTCAGAAATAAACTGAAAGGAGCATAACAAGCTGAAATTAACATGAATAAGTTAGAAGAAGCACAACAATGTTGTAGTTAGCAGAAAGAATCTGAAAGGAGCACAAAACAGCTGAAAATACAACTGTAGCTGAAAAAGCTTTTTTTTTTTTTTTTTTTTTTTTTGCACAAGGAAGCTGAACTACAACAAAATGTGAAAGGAGCAGTAAAAGGTTGTAAACATATCTTAAGATATGAAGGCTGTAAAATTAGTCCAGTTCGTTTTCCAAGAGGAAAAAAATGGCAGAAAATATTGAATATTTCAAAAAGCTAAAGTTGCATCAATAGCAAAAGTCATAGCCAGATTGTCCTGAAAGAGCTAAACATTTTGATCTATGATTTGTTGAAATAATTTGAAAACTGTGGGATGAGAATTGCACTGAAACACGTATTGAAGAAAAATGTAACATAAGAGTGTGAATGCTTCATAATCATTCACACAATAAAGCAAATATGGTCCATGTGACTGTCCAGTCATCCATCATTGTCAGACCACTGAATTGACTGCCATGTGATTTCCTTCACATCAAACAACTATTTTTGTTTTTGATTTCTATATACTTTCTTGCATTCAGTGACTAAATCTCACATTTAGCTCAATGGAGTAGCATTTCTAATTGTATTAAGAGGCATGATTTCAAACACACAAATAAAGCTGAGGGGATTTTAGAAGCAGGAATGTCAATTTATAAACAGTAAACTAGCAATCAAAGCATCAGCAGTTTAACACACATACATATATATATTCTTTTTTTTCTTTTTCTGATTGTTGTGAATAATTTGACACCATAACCAAATCCTAGTACCAACTCCCAGGGTAATAAAAAACTTAAGAAGACACCGTTGTGCGTAACAGAGCTGCTAACGGCTATAGACTCTTGGCCTTGTTGTTCTGTAATGACTTGGCTTCAAACCAGTGGTGCTTAATGGAAAATGTTGAAACTTGTTGAAAAATAGTTTCAGGAGTATCTTATTATATGGTGTCAAAAACTGTTCTTGGGCAACAAAACCATAAAAGTTTGGAGTCTCCCGAGGACTTGTACATGTATTTAACACAAGTTAAAAATATAGAAGGTAATAAAAAAAATACCAATGCCGTTCAGACTGAAGGCAGCATCAATGTTGTCTGGGATTCCATTCCAGGAATCAGCGATAAGCTTGGGGAAGCCAGTATCCATAGCCTTTATGTCTTCATCATATCTGTACACAAATAATAACAGATTAAAATACAGTTTTTAAGATTACTTCAGAGTACTTTCTCACACACATACAGAAACATGCCCCAACTCTTTTACTTAGAGCTTGGTGGTAAAACAGTGAGTCAACAGCATGAGAAAATTCCCATGCTGTGCAAGCACTAACTGATGTGTTGTGCTTAAGAGCGCAGTTTAGGTCCCACCAAACCTTAACTTGATCCAGATGCAGCAAAATACTGCTATAAATGGTTATGACATCATCTGCAGAAGTTGGGTGGGTCAGCGATTGTTTCAGTCTTACAAATCCAATGCATACACGTTTTATTTCATTTCACCTCCAAAATTGGTCTCCTGCAAATAGGTATGTCTTTCTGTTCTTTCGGAAGCTAAAGGCAGCGTCAATTTGCTGCACGTCCGTAGGGAGGCCAAGGTCGGAGATTCTCTTAGGGTAGCCTCTTTCCAGCTCGTCAGCTTTGTAAACCCACATCTCATTGCCTGGGAGAAAGAAACAAGCAGTTCGAGACATTTAGTCACATGTTGTTGTACCATAAGATGTATTGTTATGTTCATTGAATTAATGACATATTATTTTAAACAGAACTTTAAAACCAATATTTTTTCTTTCTTCTACCTAACTTTTATGTACTGAATACAGAGGGAGGCCATAGGTTGTCTATTGCCAGAACAATGTTAAAATCGTTAAAGCTGAGAACTATACTGCACAGTTCTCATCACTATTCAGAAATGTTGTCATGTTGTTACAATGCTGCGAATGTAACATAAACCACTAATGACTGTGGTGGAATAAACCAAATGTGCACTAAACGCACACACAAAAGTGCTCAGCCAACATTCCTTCTGGTGCTAAGTTGTAGAAATCATTGACCAAGTTATAAAGTGGTAAAAAAAAAAGTGATAACTTTCTCGTATCCACTTCTCTTTGGTTCTATTTTTTTTTTCTACAAACCTGCAAAGAAGACAGTTTTTTCGTCCACCGGATTTTCATAGGCAGCGTCTATTTTGGTCGGCAGGTCAGGCCAGTAGGTGGCCACCAGCATTGGGCCATTGGGTTTGTTTCTGAAGTTCACTGACCTGAACAGGAACCTGTCAGAGGGAGAAAGAGCGGCTGAGTGATTGTGAGGTAAACGAGCTGGGGATGAAATTAGCGTGAGCATAAACTGAACACAGAGAAGATTTGGAGTGAAAGTGGGGGAAGAACGTGTGCCTGTATGTGTGTGAGCTTTAGTGCAAGTGCTTGACTCGGCCAGCCAGCCACAATGGCCTGATTCATGAGCATGTGGTTTTCATCAGGTCTAAGGCGCAGACGCCAGTGGAACAAGACCCATCTCGCCCAGTTTTCCAATATACAGCTGCAAAACAGCAAGAGCAGCTTCCCTTAAACTCTTTTCCACTGACCTATTTCTTTTTAGTAAGACAAATGTCTGCCGATTGCAAAGATAAGCATTTTAATTTTAAAGTGAACACTCCAAAAAGAAAAAGAAAGAAAACCTAACATACATAAATGCTGTGTCTACTGTATATACACATGCTAAACTTGGATGGGTGGTGTTTAGGTGTTTTTCTTTTGCTTCTCTTGTGGACAACTTTACTAAGTTTATGTCATGCACATGAACAATTCCTTCTAGTCATTTGGTCTTTTGTCATTTTATCCACACGTTCAATATGAAGGCAAGAGACAGAATCACATCACAAGCATGATGTGTACATTAGCTGCAGATACCTTGTTGCTTTTTAAATAGATAATGGAATAATACAGTTTCCATCTTGTGGTTATCAGTTGTTGTTTGTTTGAGCAGTCAGTTGTCAGTTGAGTTGTCAGTTTGTTTACATTCAGTAAATACTTGTCCTAGTCAGTTTTTTTTTTCAGCACAGTTGATTTCACAGGTCCTGCAAATGATTTGGTTAATTTATGAATGTGACACATATAGAAAATTCACAAAAGCCTCCTTTGTTAACAAATAGCAGCGTTTAAGCTGTAATACTGTAGCTGTAATGAGTGCCCAAGCTTAATCACATGAGAAATGCCTCTGCAAGACAAGAAAATGGCCTTTCTTACTCGTTCAAGAAAGACTAAGCCTGATATTGTAATAGAACATGAGACTGTGTGAACAGCTTGACATGCATTTGCACAAATTTCAAAACACTTTGACTCCAGAGCAGCCAGTTTGATTGTATAGTAAACATGCTTCTTTTGCTTCATCACTCTAGCTTTGACAAACTGTTCAGTATTATGTTGTGAACATGATGGTGTTGTTGGTTATGCACAAAGGCTCTAATTTCCTGCTTTACAAATTTTAAAAAAGAAAAGCTAAATTTACATTTATTTACAGAGGCCCTGTATTTGTGGCATGTGCTCATTTGATTGTATCCCAGCAGATGAGCGTCATAGGTGCAATAAATCTAATTAGTAGGTTGGTGTAGCTGCTACTTTACATCAGACTTTATAACAGCCTTTTCCTTAAGCCTCGAGACAGACAGGCACACATTTATGCTGCGCTCAGGCAGAGCTAAAGCCTGACTCACTGTGCCGTGCAAAGATTTGCCGTACCACATACACATGCTGATTCAGCAGAAAAACAGATTCCACTTTAACAAAAGGGAAAAATCAACTTTGCTTTTGTTGCAGAGCCAGGCATTCTTTTTTTTTTTTTTTTGAGTAAAGATATAAAGCTTGTGTTGTACCAAGAGATTTTGCAGCATATTAAACTTACACAACCTTTCAGTGACCCATAAGGTGCGATTAAGAGGCCTCCTTAAACTACATCTCTGTCAGTCTAACGCTCCCAATTTCTAATGATTACTTTCTGAGTTTTCATTCAAATCACTCTAATGTGTCCAACAGACAGGGTTGACCCTGACAGTTAACTCCACAGTTTAAACAAAGTTTATAAGTGACTTATATGTACTCAGAGTATGTAAACAGTATGTAAAGCTTTTGATACTGTGGACCATGACATCTTCTGTCATAAGCTCTCAGAAATTGGTTTCTCAGATCACACCACTGGTTGAGTCACTAACTATCTCTCAAATTGGAGGCAATGTGTTCAAATTAATGGTACTTCTTTCATCAATTTAACGGTTAACAATGGTGTACCACAAGGTTCAGTCTTAGGTTTCACCCTCTTCACAATCTACATAGGTAATGTAGGTCAGATCATCCCTGATGCATCCTTACATTTCTATGCTGATGACACAGTTGTTTATTGATGAGCTAAAACAGTTTCCAAGGCTTTCCAGCTTTTGCAATCTGCTTTTGACATCATCCAGTCAGATTTGGTTAATCTCAGACTGGTCCTAAATGCTGACAAACCTAAAGGGATGTTGTTTAAAACAGGAAATCAGTCCCAGCAGTCTTTCCCTCAATGTTATCTTCGAATTATGTTCCTATTGAGTTTGTCTATTCTTACAAATACTTGGTATCTTGGTCGATTTGCATCTCTCTTTTAAGCTCCATGTCAAAAACTTGGTAAAGTAACTGTAAGTTAAACTGGGTTTCTTTATAAGAAATAGATCCTGTCTAACTCTGAATGCTAGGAAACACCTTGTAACTGCTACTTTCCTCCCCTCCATTGACTATGGTGACATTACATGAACGCCCCTACAAGCACCCTGCATATGTTGGACACTGGCTATGACGTTGTGCTAAAATTCATAACTGGCTGTAATTATTGTACCCACTACTGCACTCTGGTTAACTGGTCATCATTAACTTCATGCAGACTCCCTCACTGGTACATTGTCATCTTTAAATCACTTCTTAAATTAGTTTTTTTTTTTTTTCTGGGACCCTGTGTACACAATTTCGTTCCACCACATGTACCACATATGATGCAAATAACAATAAAGAAACCTTGACCTTCTTGGTCTGTTACCTTCATATATCTCCTCCTACATGTCAATGCGTGAGTGCAGCTACAGCGTGCACACTCAGGACATTATTACATGCAGTGTTCCCTCAGTGCGAACTGAACTAGCCAAAAGGGCCTTCTCCTACTCTGCTCCTGTTTCCTGGAATATCTTGGAAAAAGATCTGAAGCGCTCGACCTTGACCTCTCTAAGTGGCTTCAAACAACTGCTAAGTTCATGGCAAAAACCAGTGCAGACATGTTCCTGTTTGTAGGCTATTATATCACTTTATAATGTAGCAGGTTTTAAAAAAAATTTACATCAGTTTCTTACATTTTTATTTTCAATTTATATGCCTTCTTTTAAGATTGTCTACTCTTGTCATCATTTTTTGTTAAAAAAAAACAAAAAAACAAAACAGGTCTCTCTTGTAAATGAGTCCCCGAGGCTCAATGAGACTAACCTGTATAAATAAAAACTACCACCACACCATATTTTAACTCCCTATCTGTAAAGCCAGTGAGTTGTAGCCTTTCTGTGGTGGCTAAAGTTGATTAACTGTACTAACTGTCTTGAATTGGGTTGACTCCAAAAGTTGATTGGTTGTAGATGCACAGTTCATCCAATGGTCACTTTATAAGCAAGTCATTAAAATCTGTTTAGATGTTTTTAGGGTATTTTGCTGACAGACTGTCAGACAAACACACACACAAGCAATAATATTAATAATAGCAATATCAAGTATAGTATGGCTTCTATTCACAACTGTTTCTGTCCTTATTGAAATAAATATCCAGATGTCTTGTTTGCATCTGTCATCACAGAGTCCCCCTGCCCCCCAAAAATCTTCAGCCCCTTCCTTTGAAGGGAATTAAATTTCAGCTCAGCTTGATTTTTACCAACTGGGCCAGAGTTTCATGGTCTGCAGATCACTCTTTGAGTCCCTGCGCTGCTCTGCTGCTCCCTTTAAATGTGTGGCTAAAAGCCACAGCCAGGAGAAAAGATATTTTGCACTAAAGCTGGATTTGTGAGCCATATTGTGGTTTGCTGCTCCCACTTTTGAAACTCAAGTTTCTTATGGAAGACAACTAGACCAATTCCGAATCTGCAGACTCTGTTATGAAGGTATGCTGCTCTGTTTATTTTGGACTCATTTCCAAATGAACAAAGACATTTTGAAATGATAAAGAATACATATTGCAACACAACCTTGACAGTGTTTTTGTTTTTTTATCAGTTTCTGTTCAGCCCTATCATTGTTTTCCTGTCTGTCAGGGGATTCTGTCTGCAACAAACCTCAAGAGTTGTGATGAAAATATTCACCTTCCTGTGTGAAAATGCACACAAGGACGTTTTACTAAACCACAGCGCTCCACGAATCTCCTCTTCTACATCAGCTCAGTGACATGCACTGAAGCTGAGATACTTTGGATTATTTGGTGCCTGTGCAGAACAAAATTACAGACTGTGTTTCTAATTCATGACTATTTTGGCAGGCTAGTGTAGAGTAGCAGTCTGTTCCCCCTCTTACCACTTGTCACATTAATTTATAGCACGAGACTAGAGTTTGCAAAACAATAATTAACTTGCAACAATATGCCAATTAGAGCACTGTTTGATGATTATTTTTTTAATTAATAAAACCAAAGTTGCAAAAAATTCAATAATCGTCTTGATGAAGCACTTTGGACTCAGAAAACCAAGACGGAAAGCAAAATTGCATAAAGAATTAGGTCAAATCCATCCCTTGTTCATTTTAATCATCATGTATGAACCAGTTTATCCATGTTTCCAACAATTACCTGTCTTTGAAGAAAAAGGTTTCTCCTCTGATTTGTGCCACAGCATCAAAGATAACTGGATCTTTACAGATGTCCATTGGAGTGACAGGACCCTGGGTTGGAGACAAAGGTTTGTCTGTTGAGACACCTGTTGGAAGATTGGACACAAGTTGGGATATTTTAGAGGTAAATTACACACTGTTGTTTGGTCTCAAAATGAGACAATACACTTTCTTAAAGTTTTGGTGTATTTCTCCTCACCATACAGTTCTTGAATGCCCTGGATGTCATCTTGAGAAAGTCGGAAATCTTTGAAAAAGGTGTAAATAGGAGCCATCAGTGCCCCGGGGTCCTGAGAGTGCTCCAAACCAAGAGCATGACCAAACTCATGGGCAGCCACCAGGAACAAACTGTAGCCTAAAAACAAGCACAACCAAGTGAGAGTATATTCTATCTTTTTACTGACTGAAATATTTTGTAATAGAAATATTCCTTTTTTATTCTTCAGGAATGACACACACTGTCTTCAATTATCCACATTTTTCATCAACTTTCATCTAATTTCAGCATGTATTCAACTGTTTTGTGCTCCTTTCAGATTCTTTCTGCTAACTAAAACATTTTCGTGCTTCTTCTAACTTCTTTCTGCTAATTTCAACATTTGATTCTCCTTTCAGCTTATTTCTGCAAGTTTCAGCTTTTTGTTGTTGTTGCTATTTCAGCTAATATTTAGATATTGTATGCTAATTTTAGATTTTTCAGCTAATTCCACATTTCATGCACACATTTCAACATTTTTTCAGGATCTATCCACTTCCTTCTTGTAATTTACGCTTCTTTCTGCTTTTTAGCTACTTTTCAGATTTTTTTAAACAAATTTCAGCTTTTTTCAGACAATTTCCCCTTTTATTTTGGCTACATTCGGCTTATTTCAGCCTAATTGGGCAAATGTGTTCTTTCTGCCAATTTAAGTCAGTTCTACGTGTTCACCTACGTTTTCAACCTTTTTTTTTTTTTTTTTTTAATTTCAGCTTTGTTCAGATAAATTCTATTTTTTTGTGGTAATTTCTGCTACTTTTTTCTTTCTGCTCATTTCACCTTGTTATATCTTCAGCTTATTTCTGCTAGCTTCAGCGTTTTATGCTAAGTCAGCTACTCTTTAGCTGTTTTATGCTAATCTTTGCTTTATTAGCTAATTCCATTTTTTTTTTTTTTGTCTTTTTATCTATTTCTGCTTTTTTCTGGTAGTTTAAGCACTTTTCTACATTTTCAACTACTTTTCAGCATTTGTTTTTAATCAATTCTGCTTATTTAAATCAAATTAAGCAAATATGTGTTCTTTTGGCCTGCTCCTGCTAATTTAGGCTTGTTCTTCCATGTCAGCTTGATTTCATCGTGATTTTTTTAAGCTATTTTCAGCTGTTTTTCAGCAAGTTCTGTAATAAGCATTCACACTGCATTTTCGCAGGAAATTCAATTTCTCTAGTTGACAGGTTTTATTACCAAAATCCACAGCTGGGTCTGGTCTCAAATCCTATTGGCCAGCGCTGTCATACCTTGGTCAGGACAGAAGCCCCATTTGCGGTCATCATCGTAACTCTTGGTGGTGGCGCACCACATCTTTCCATCGCTGCGTCCAGAGGTGGTGCAGGAGTCATAGCTGTCTCCCAGAAAGGTGAAAGGAAAGGCACAGGGACTTCCATCTGCATTCCCTCCCACTGTCGACAGAGCTGAAAATGGCAACACTTAGTTTACCAGAAGTAATCTTCATTTTCTTATGAAATGATTTAATATACATGTAAGCCAAATATTTTTTTCTCTGAAAAAAGTCTGATTTGGGCTCGACTGCAAAATAATTCCAGACAATGATGAAAACAGCAGCTGGCACAGCACAAGGAACACCATTAACTAATCCAAACTAGGCACAAAACCAAAATAAATAAATAAATAAATAAAAATACCCCGCCCAAATTGATTTCCTTTCAAAGAGAGATCATTTTCAATCTGGCATCACTGACATTGCTCTCTTTCTGCTTTATTTATTTATGTTCTTCACACAGAGCCACATTAATATATCAATTAAAACTAGAAAGTCCCAATCGCTTTTCTCTCCTTTCTTACCTCTCCATGCTACTTTATCTGAACAGTACAACTTGTCACATTTACAGAACAGAAAATAAACCAAGCTATTCCTTATTAAAATATATATACCGGTATACACAAATGATAATGTGAACTCCGTGTATTTATTGACTTGTACAGTGAAGTATGTAAGCATCAGTACAACTGAAATTGACTGAGTACTCGCTCAGTCATGTGTTGGGACAGTAGAAGACCCTGCTTACCAGTTTCGGGGCAGAAGCCGTAGGATTTGTCTCTGTCGTAGTCCTCAGTTGTGGCGCACCAGCGGTAACCATCATCCCTGCCCTCAGTAGTACAGCTGTCATACTTCTCCCCCTGAAAGGTGAAGGGGAATTTGCACGCAGCGCCTTCTCCGTTCCCACCCAGCGTGAAAAGTACTGTAAAACAAGGAACGAGCACAGTTGCATTGTGCAATGCATTAGGATTTGTAGATGACCTAAATATTAAACTGCATTGCAACACTGAAGACAAAGGTTCTGAAAGACTAAATGAAATACAACTCCTGGTATAGTAAAGTTTTAATAGAACGCGCTTTATTGCAAACAGGTTTTACTCATGTTCACATCTTCAAAAACAACTTTGTACATGTGTACTTTGGCTGTTAACAGGAACAGACTGCTAATAAAATGAGCACCATGAACAGCAATAAACAGAGAAGCAAAGTGTTGGACACAGCTTGGTGTTTCTAAAGTGGGACAGTAACTTGGAAAAGAAATGTTCCCTAATACACTCCAAATACAAAGCAACAACCGCACAGATGAAGACAACACTTCTTGGCATATGGTTCAACCTACTTTCTTTCTGTCCAAAATCACAGAACTGTTTTGCACGGAGAAAAAAAAATAAAAAATCAAGTGAGATTTGCTTTCCCTCTGTATTAGAATGCTGCAGTGATTCACCAAAGTGTTTAATTTAAAAAAAAATGCAAATGGGATACACCAGGCTTTTAAAAGTTAACAGGATTCAAAAAGTCACATTTTAGGAGGATTAGGAGACGTTACCACACATGCAGTACATTTTTCAGATTGAAAAATACATGGCAAACTTACATTCATGTGGGCAAAATCCATATTTCCCATCTTCATCAAAGTTGTAAGTAGTGGAGCACCACAGGAAGCCGTCATCTCGGCCTTGAGCTGTGCAGCTGTTGTACTCGGTGCCCATAAACAGGAAGGGGAATTTACAGAACTCTCCATCAGCGTTGCCAAACTTCGCTTTCACCACTGTTGTATCAAAGCAGATGTTCAAGTTGAGCTACATTTTAAGAAACACTCATGTATTCATGTTTCACTGTAAAAGATAAGACGCCCTTTGATGCAACACAAAAACATATCTCTGCAACATGTGAGGAGTTTGTTGAAAACATCAGCCTCAAACTACAAAACAGGTTTGTGACAATATAAAGTATAAAGTACAAAGTCATGAAAAATATAATACAAAGAAATACTGGGAGCAAAAATGTCTAGACCATCCATCCATTGTTATGTACAAATCAGGGCTTAATTTCTAAACTAATCAATGCCAGAATGCAAATAATGAGTGGGCCAGAGGTGAGGGGGTCTGGGTCCTCCCCCAGAAAATTTTGAATAAAGTATATGCAATTTCCTGCATTTTTGGTGTATTTTAACAGGTTGTTAAACATCTACATTTACCTACATATGTAAACACTCCACTTCTTTCAAGCATCCTACACCCTCCCTCCCCCATACTTGACGGTTCCGAGCCCGACTCCTCCATCGGCTGCAGCTGCCTGTGGGTTCATGCCCATGCACGATGACTGGTTAGCTTGGTACTCACGGGGGCAGAGATATGTTTTTTAAAGTAGATGCAGAAACGTTACTTGTAGAGGTAGATCGTATGTGATATTAAGAAGCTCGTAAGTGGCTGTTGTGTTTAAAATGAGTGTTTATGTAATTATTTTCAGTTTACAGAAACAATATAAGTTTTATTCGTTCAAGGCAGTTACATTTATTCATAACTTTATTAATAGTAATCCTGAGAGTTACCGGATGAAGCAAACTGTTACCGGAA